AAAAAAAAAAAAAAAAGCTGTTAAGAACTGTGAAGTCTGGACTTTGTGCTGAAGTCTGCCCTCTCAGCAGATAGCTTTTGCACCCTTCAAGAATAGACTGAAATCTGCAGTGGTGAAATTGTCATCTTTTGGATGTTTGTATGGCTCAGATGCTGTGTTTTGGAGGTGGTTCATCATTAAATGCTAGCTCAGGATTTGTATTTGTTCCTTGTTTGATGGAAGCAAAGGGTCTTTGTTTCAATGGCCATGCTGATCTTTAGGAGAGCTATTTAAATGCTCTCTCAGTCTTAGGTCTGTCTTTATCACTGACTTTAAACACCTGAGTAGGAGGCCCCACATGCATGGGGAGGTGTTTGTGGGTGGGGGTACTAATTGCTTTGTTTGGTGCACCTGGATAAACCTGATCTGGTGGGATTGTTGTTGATTCGGTTATTGCTGGTGAGTGGTTGGCTGTCTTCCTCAGGCTCTGTCCTCCTTCTGGAAAGGATGAGATGAAAAGACTAAACTACAGAGGAGTGTGATAGATCTTCTTTTCAGTGTGGAAATCAATACTAGAAATAGTTGCTTTTTCCGAGGTATGTCAAGATGCTTGGGTGAGAGGGTGTTTGGGGACATCCATCCTCTTATAATCTGACATAGACCTGGGATGGCTATGTCTCTGCTACAGATAAACAGCTTAGTCCTCTGGGAGTTTTTTGTTTTGTTTTATTTTTGGCTGGTTACATAACCAAAATGGGTGGTTGTTGCGAGGGTTATTTTCTTTTTGCTGTTTTCTTAAAGATACTGGTTCCTTAGTAAAAGTCAAAGCTAAGCAGTAGGTGTTCTATTGAGAAGGTTTTTCCATATTTTAATATTTATTTTCTTTTGTGCAATACTACCTTTTTCACTGAAATGGAGAAAAAATGTTTATTTTAATTTATTGTGCTGTTGTCTTGCAATGAAAAGCTATGGGTGTTATTCTTCTGCTCCAGATTCTGGCAGTCACAGGTTTTGTGTGCACTATAAGCAGATGGTAAAACAGGAGTAAATATTACCATTTTCCAGCAACTATACTGTTTATGGAGTGTGGAAGTGATGAGACAACCTTCAGTTCCCAAAATGCTCTGAATACACAGAAGTAACCACTTATGTGGAGCTGGCTGGCAACTGCAGTACTTGGAACATGCAGTAATGTGGATTTTTAGAAAATCTGTTTCTATTTAAACAGAGAGAGTATGTCTGAATCCAGGTGATATTCCTTCAAATACATGTAGCTCTTTGGCTAACTGACCATTAGAAAAGCATAGATCACATTAACATACCATTGTTATTTGTCTGAGGCTTTAGCTATATACTTGTGCTCTAAGTAGAGCTGACAATTTCTGAGTGTTAAAAGACCACCCCCTGCCTCTAGGATCCCATTGTGAATAGACCTACTCCCTTGCTCAGATGACTTTCTGGTGGGCCACACTTGTTCATTAGTTGTAGTCAGGAATGACTTGGAAAAGACTTGGAAAATTTTTGTGAGAATGTTTTGGGTTGTATTCATCTTAACTGAAGCTTTCTTAGTGGTGGCTGCTTGATCCAGCAGAAGGCAAGAGTGTTTTCTCAAGCTGAATCAGCCTGAAGTAATGGCAATATTCAGGTCTCCAAAATGTGATGAAGACCATGGTAATTCTTGCCAATAGAGTTCTACCCTCATTTTTACACACAGGTTCCTGACATTCAAATATGTGAGGTTGCAAGAGAGTAACCGATTCTGTTTTGTTCTGGACAGCTGTGTTTCACAAGTCTTCTCTACAGGTGAATTGCAAAGCTAATGCATTGTGTTAGGTTTTTTTTTTTTTAAAGCTGGCTTTTTGCTCAGTCAGAATTGCTCTCAAAAAGAGTTTATATAACTACAGATTAGACTTTTATTCCTCCTTTGCTAATGATGTGTATTTCTCCATACAAGGATTCTTCAACGTGTTCAGTTATTGTTGATATCAGTTACCCAGGTTGGGAGAAAAGGTGAGCCTTCCTCTACTGTGTCTCACTGGGGAGTCCACATACAGGAGAAAAAGGCCTGGTTGAGGCACTTACCAAGATGTTATTCCCTGGGTGCTGCTGTGGGAATCTAAGGACAGGCACAGCAATAATCCCCGCTGAAGTAGAGCTCTACTGATGGAGAGAGCCAGCTAGCATCAAAGTCACTAGCTAGTCGAGAAGTCTCTGTTGGTAGCCAGGGGATGTGTGGGGTTTGGGACCTGGAGTTATAAAAGGACTTCCCCAGAGGACTTCCCCAAAACGCCACCTTCTGGGAGTGGGGCAGAGGTGTCACGAGGAGATAAACTGGGCCTTAATGTGTTTGCAGTTTAGAAATGAGGCTTAAATAATATATGAGTTTTTGCATGAGTTTTGCAGAGCTAAAACTCTTCTGTGAAGAACTGAATTAATTGCATTCCTGGCTATAGCTATTTTGAAAGGTTGCACTTAGAAAGGTATAAATTTGGACAAGGAGTCTGAAGGTCAATTCCCTCCACAGGAGGGCTGGGGTGGGTGGAGGTGGATGTTCTGGCAAAGCTTCAAATACAGAAGCTCCCTCATGTCTTTATACAACTGGGAGGAATTGTTTTACTTATTTATTTAAAAAACAAACAAACAAAACAAAAAATACCCTTTGGCATGTCGTCTGCGGTGTCTCCCAGTGCCCATTTGTCCCAGCAGTCTGGCTCCGAATGGCACTGTTTGCTGGTGCCTGCTGGTGGGCGCCTTCTGTGCGAAGGATGAAGGGCGGTGTTTCTAAAAGCTGCCTGCTTATTTTCTTACTACTGGTCAGCTTTGACTAGTTCATTGAGAGTAGACTTTATCTTGAAAAGGACACTCTCTAGCATCTGTGGTGCATCATGTGCTCTTCTCTGGAATAAGAAATGCTTGCAGAAGTTTTCCACTGTTTTTTTGGAGTCCTGAGTCCCCTACGGGGCTTTTGGGGTGCTTGTCTTAACAAGGATTAATAATAATCCTAATAATCTTAATAATTAATGTGTAGATATTCAGAATGTAACTGGGTGAATATTTCTTAGAAGGGCTTATAAGGCTTTTAAGTTGGCAGAAGTTCTTTTACGTCTTATCTTTCAAAGGGCCTGAAACCAGCTTTATGATTAACTTAAAATCCTTGTGCTATTGCAATGGAGTTGGGAACTCAGGCTTATGTCAAAAAATAAAAGATTGCCTTTCTGAGCCCTGTGGACAAAGGCAAACCCACTTAAAGGGCAACCTCATGCGTAAAAGAACATGCTAAAACCTCAGAGATAACAGCACCAGCTAGGCAGGTGATTTATAAGAACTTTCCATTTTGTGGTCATACTTGGTGGCATTGCTGCCAATCTGCAGTGGGAATCCTGCCATGCCTTTGAGCTGTGGTCCTGGACATAGCTATTTTTTTCCTGTTACACTATGCAGTTGACTTCCTTCTGTTTCAGCAGGGACGGAGAAGGCAGTTGCCTTCTAGTTGGCTCAAAGCTGGAAAGAGGTTGTTCAGTTCAACCTTTTTTTGTCCCTGCAGCTAACTGCAAAGGGATCTTGGGAGAAATGATCTGCAGTGGCTCTTAATTTTGTGTGAGATTTGTCTAGAGGAGATGGTTTGTGACTGACAAAATGGAACAGACCTAGATTTGCTTTCCAGGAATGGTGTAGCTGGCAGGAGCGTGCTGTGTTTTAGGCTAGGGTGTTTTTTTGTTTTTTTAAACAAGTCAGATTGTTTTCTTTATGACCAATTATAAGTGGTTGATAAACACCTATAATAAAATACAGATATGCATTGGCAAATCATCCTTTTTTTCCATTAAAGAAAG